AATCCTCACTCAAAGATATGTTTATTGATCCCAGAGAGAGGAAGTGAGAGAGACAGAAGGGGGGGGGGAGGGGGAGAGAGAGGGAGAGAGAGAAAGAGAGAGAGAGAGCTCAATTGGTTGCCTCCTGTACGCCTGCTTGAACTGGGGATGGAACCTGCAACCCTGGGGAGTTTGCACAGGACCACACTCCAACCAATTGAGAAACACGCCAGGGCATATTTATTTATTTTTAAAAGCTCATTGTCTGAGATTGCAAGGCTGTAACTGTGCTGTAGGGAATGAAAGTCCCTACAACCTTCCTTCCCTCCCCCACTGCACAGGGAGCAAACCCGTGATAGGTACATTTCATGCTAATTTTGATGCTTTTGTTTTAAGTTTCACAAAGCTCATAGAAGGAAATGATTTAGCTTATAGTTTTTGTGTGCCAGTGTTATCTCTCTAAGTGGGGGCTGCATGTTTTACCGGGAGGAAAGAAAGAGCAAGTATAGCATGAACAAGAGTGAAATATTCCAACAGGGTCCTGCTGGAGAGACGATAAAGGAGTTCTCCATTTTAATGACTGAGAAAACACCATCATTTTTCACCTTACCAGAATCATCGAGTTCTGATACTAAATAGAGAGTGATTCTACTTTTTGTGTCACATTTGGTTTCACCTTATTTGAAGTTTTTTTTTTTTTTAAACCAGAAAGAGAAGAATCGTTAACAAGAGGCAGTTTATGCAGCCGGGTAAATACCACCAGAGCTGTGCTTTGTAAGGGCGATTGAGTGACCAGGAAAATTAATCCTGGGTGTCTGTTCACTTGGTCTTCCCAGGAGATTTCCTCCACCTACTCGCCTCAGAGCGAAGAGGCAGTCTGAGATCAAACTGACATCAGCCCTCGTTCTGAGCTTGGCACACCTTCAGAGCAGCTACTGTTATTCTGCCAAAAGGAAGGGGAAATTGAGATAAATGTTTCAATACTCAGATGGAAAAAAGTCCATTTTTACACCACGTCCCTTTTGAAAAACCACATTCCTTAGAAGCAAAGTTTATTGTTTCCTTTTGTGATAGTTTGCTTTTATTTTTTTTTCTTGAGATGTGGTATTTAAGAGCGGTAATTGAGTTCAGATTTTAAAATGTGCTTTTTCCACTCTGCATGTCATTAAAATAAAATATTAGCTTTCATGAAATTTCTTTGGAAGTGTTTCTGGTGTGCTGTGTTCCGTGGTGTGTGGAGTGTCAACCTGAAGAATGATGTTTCAGCGCGATCTGATAATGGATGAACTTGGATTCTGGACTCTGCCGAGGATCTGTTATAATTATGGAGTGTTCAAAATGTGCCAAATGTATACTGAATCTGCTTGTGACTCTGTCACCTACATTTAGCATATGCAGTTCGCTTCTGCAGAGCCACAGCTGTCTCGTCTTTCCACAAAGAGCCGCACGCAGCAGTTTTAGGGTGCAGAGCAGAGAGTGCAGACAGGAGTGCTCATGTAAGGTTTTGTCCGGCATTTGTTTTCAGGAGCACGGTTATATTTAGAAAGGGATTTGGGTTTGAAACAATGCATGTGAGTCCTTTTCGAAGGTCTGTTTCAATAGCAAATTTATTTTACTTTATCCCTTATTTTTCCTGTATTCTAGTAGAACACTTGGAAACAAGTGGCATTCTCTCAGCCCATGTGCATTAAAAAGGGTCTCAGTGTATTTTGGTTTAGCGTGGTACATAGAAACTTCACTCTTCTATCAGATTAGCAATGAAATGAGTTTCACAGTGAGTCTTGGAGTTGGGTACAAAGATGGAAGTGCATTTGAATTTTAAATTTGCAAACCTAACATTGTTGCTCTCCCAAAGTGCTCTGTTCTTTGTTGGCTACTTCAAGTTTGCTGGGTTACTATGGGATACTGTTCGGTATCTGAGAGAATCCTAGTCGAGCTCCTTTTTCTTAGCTGTGATCTCATTGATATTCTGATATTTCCTCTAGATCAAGAGGAATGGTGTTTGGACCAGCCAATTTAGGGGAAGATGCAATTAGAAACTTCATTGCAAAACACCGCTGCAACGCCTGCTGCCGGAAGCTCAAACTCCCGGGTATGCCCCGAATAGTTCTGTTTTTTTTTTTTCTAAGTAAATCTCTCAAAGAACAACATCTATTGTAACCTGGGATAGAGTAGAAAATCTCAATCACATTTTTATCTCATTCGCAGTTGAGGCCTGACTTTCTGCCTGCAAATTTTTCAAATCTCTAAAGGGATTAAAAGGACAGGGATTTACTTCAGTTTCTGACAAAATGTGATAAAACGACACTGGGCCCAATACGTGTCACAGTCTGTCCCAGGGACAAGCTCTACAGACTTAATTGGGGCCCAGTGGACTGAGGCAGATCTTTGCGCCACTCCCCACCCTGAGGTCCTGTGTGGTGCCCACAGTATGTCTAGTCTATTGATGATTACTCGTTGGACACTTGGGAGGGTGGGTGCGGAAGGAAGCACAGCTGTCAATTAAAGTAGTGCTTTTTACTGCAAAAACCTGCCTCTTTACATGTATATGTTTTAAGTCCGATTTGATAATGTGACACACTTTTTCTGAAGCCAATATAGTCATCACAGAAAATATTTCTAACATGAAAGCACGCAGCTGGAGGTCTGCGCCCCCCGAGTTGGCAGTCTCAGCTCGGTCTCATTCCTTCCTTTTATCTCAGAAGGGACACTTTATGTCTGTCTCAGCTTGCTCACTGTTTTTCTGAGATCATCCCAAACTCATCCTTAGAATGGAATTTCACATGTTTTCAGTAGACTGTCCCTTCCTGCCTTCTAAGTGTTCATACCCTGAATTGGAAATCATCATCGTCCTTTCTAATTTGGGATGGGGTGGGTGTAAATTTACAATAAAAAGGGCAATTTCTGATCTTGTTAGTGTTGGAAGTAGAAGGTTGAAAAGCACTTGTGGGCAAGACATAGCAAAGGACTGGGGTTTGTATCAGGTTCCTGGTTCCAGGGAGAAGTAATAGCCTGGCTGACAGAGGTGGTGGTCAGGGTGTGTCCGTGGAGTGGGCAGGTCAGGGAGCAGCAAAGAGGGGAAGGTTGTCACTGCCTTCCTCTAACTGCCCAGGACTTGCTCTCACAAGCCACACAGCAGACCTGGGCACGGAGATCAGCCCAGAGCATACTGGCTGAGCCACCCTCTGGCGTCTTCTCTGGTCACAAGGACTTCAGGGAGGCTCTGGGGCTGGACTGAGGGGCCTCAGGACCTCTAGGAAAGGGCTCTGTTGGAGGCAGGTGCCGATGTAGATCTGAGTCATCGCGTGATTGTATGCTGGAATCTGGTCCCTTCACGTGTTGTCCGCAGGCACTGGCCCCTTCCCAGGTCTGCCTCACCGTACCCTGGACAGGGCAGCCTCTGGTTCTCAAAGACACAGAGACCACATCTGATTGGCTGGGAGAAGGGAGGACTTCAGACCTAACTCACTGTGTCCATCCTTGAGCCCCATTAGCTCTCTGTATGATTTAGTTGGAGATCTTTTTTTTTTTTTTTCTTTTAATCCTGTGCTGGTGAGTTTTACATGAGTAATTCAATAATTCCTCCATCTCTAGACCTAATCAGTGGTTCCTTTCAAAACATGAACACATTTAAGTGGAAATAGGAAACATCCTCAGTTAGTCATTGGTTATTTGAATAAAATAAAGTTTAGTCTGGAAAACAGGAATGGGGTGGTTTTTCTTTTTTGCTTGTTAGTGTTTTATCTATCTGTTCTATTTATCTATCATCTATCTATTGTCTACCTTTAAAGAGGGGCAGTTTAGGACAGTGTGTAAGAACATGGGATCCAGAGTCAGATAGTCTGAACCCACATCTCAGTTTTTCTTACTGGGCTGTGACTTGAGTCTCGGGTTCCTTCCTCATCCAGAGCCTGGCATAATGGCACTGGTCTCAAAGCTGGTGTGAAGATTGAAGTAATTTATGGCATGTTCAGGACCTGTCTGTTATTACTAAAGTATAATTTGAATTTTTTTTATGTGCAGGTAATTTTAACATTGAAAATACACAGAATATATGTTTAAGGTTAATAGATTTAATTAATATAGCACAAGATGGTATCCAAGCATTTAAGCCCATTTTTCTCCATACACTTCTCCCTGAAGATTCCCCTTATTGATGTTTTCTTTTGATACTTTCCTTTTCAAACAGAAGAAGGATGCTTTAGGAAGCATAGGATCCAATAACTGGATGAAGCCTTCGTAGGCAGTGCCAAACCCACGTACAGCTTTGTTGCAGAAGGCTGACTACTCAGATCTTGAGATCACCATCTGGGATGAACTCCTTGTCCCTGCCCATCATTCACCCGTGAGATGCCCCATTCACAGGTTGGCCTCACTTAACTCTGGCCAGGTTGTCCCTTATAGGGCATTGTGTATTGGCTCAAGCAAGCACACCTTCCCTCCCTGGCCCAGGAGAGCACAAGCCTAAATCAGCATTGGGGCGTTAGAGTCCCACATGGGCATGGGGCAGGTGGTTTGGACAGGGTTGAGGGTTTGAGTTTCATATAGGGATGACCTGAGGAAGCAGTGTGCTCTCTGAGGACTTGGAAAAACTTAAATTTCAGTTTATCTGTGTGAGCACTATGTTTTTGAGGGTCCACATAAACCATCTTAATTATCTTCCTTGCAGATTTAAAAAGGAATGATTATTCCCCTGGAAGGATAAATTCCACCCCTGGACTCGAAATCAAAGCAGAACCGGGTGATGGCCCTCCAGCAAGGGAAAGGGGTGGTAATCCTCCAGAAGACTTCACTCGATTGTGAAAAGGGGAGAAGTAAGACGATGACTGTCCCTGCCCTCCCTTCCAGGAACTAACTACACTGATGTAGCATGGATTACGTCAGAGCTCTGTCAGGATGGCCTTACCTGTGAGCCTCCTTGGGACATGCCTCCTGAGCATCATGCCTGCCCTCACCTGAAGACCTCTTTTGTATATGAAGAATGGGTTCTCCTGGATGCTGGTCTGGGTCCAGGGCGCTTTGTATGTGCATGTCATCTGTTCCACAGGAAGACACTTGGAGGAGTCAGCTGGGAATACTGCTTCTTTATACCTCATTGCTTCAGCTGGTCTCTTAGATCCCTTGGAGCAAAATGTTGGCACTGGAGAATCAGGGAGAGGAATTTAATTTATTTTCTCACTATGTATGCTGACTCTAACCCCCACTGCTGTTCACCACCTTACCCACATGGTGTATTTGTTTATATATATATATGTACATAAAGAGGTCACTTGACATCCTCCTCTCTCCTTTCTAGTAGCACGAGGCTTTGAATAACAGCAATAAGGGAGTATTTTCACAGATGGAAGCACACTCCTGCACAAACTAGCCAGTAAAAATTTAGTATTCTGGTGAAATCTGAATGGGTTGGAGGTATTGTCAGTGAATTGTCTGATACTTGGGCATTTCACTTTTCTGTGAAAGAAAGGAAAAGAGAAAGCTAAAACAAATGCCCTTGCATCTTTTTTTTAAAAAAAGGGAAACAAGAATATGCAAAACTAGAAATTATTAAGAACTGTTTTCCCTCCCCTTAAGCTCAGGGATATTCTCTTTTCTAAAGCTGCGTATATAATTTTGTAGGTTAACTTACTCTCTGTCAGATCCACTGGGGAAAGATGGGTTTCTGATTGAGACCTGCTTTGCAGGTGATTGCTTCATTCCAGTACAGAGTTCCAGTGGCTTAATGAATGCACTGTCTATTTTAAGTACAACCTGAGAACCTGTAATCATTCTGGAGGCCAGAGGGAAGGGTCCCTGGGAGCTGTACCTTACACTACATTTTGGGGATCAGTCATTTCCCTTTCACACTGTCAGGGTTGCCTGACCTTTGCGCTTTTCATGCAAGCAGGAGCACCTCCTTTTCCTTTTCATAGAGTGTTCCAGTCTATCAGCAACAAACATCCTTGGTTTGAAAAAATCCACCTTTATCTTACACCTCACCTTACATTAGCTGGTTTGCTTTTTAAATCAACACTTCTGCACTCTTAGCTTATACTTCAGGGGAAACGTTGCCCAGGCACAGGGGGTGTAAAGCCAAGGATTTAGTTTGCCAAGGATCATATCTGATTCTTGTGTGATTTGCACAAGGGCTAATTTGTACCCCTTTTATTTGGTTTTAGGGATGGCGGAAGGTAGGAGATTGGGTGATCTCTTTGATTGGCAGTGAGGATAAAATGTGAATGCTCTTTTCAGGGCTTGACTGCTGTATCCTACTCTGCAGATCAATAGGGATCTATCCGTCCTGAGTCTGGTTCTGTGTTCAGCTGTGGAAAGAGGCAGCTTGCCTGTCCAAGGGTCCAAGTAAAGGGTGTTAATTCAATGGTCAACTATTTGTTACCTGGAATGGAACTTGAAAATAAAGACATTTTGATTTCAAATTTCTGTGCTGTGATTTTTTCTTTCTTTCCTTTTTAGAGAAAAATCACCAGAATAACATTGAAAAAGATGAACTCCTGGTCAAAGCTCACTGTGGGAATGCTTGCATGCAAATACCGAAGTGATAATCTTGATTTGAAGTGACTCATGACCATAAAAGGGTGGTGTATTCATTCATTTATTTGGTCAGTTTTTTTCAACAGATAGTTGCCTTATCTGTATCATGTGAGTGATGAGGATGCAATAAACATAACACTTCTTTGCCGCCAAAGGTTTATATCTTCCTTCCTTCCCTTCTTATCTTCTTCTTCCTCTTACCCTGCCCTTTCTCCTCCTCTACTTCCTTCTCCCCTCCCCCTCTTTCTCCTCTACCACCTCTTCCTCCTCCTCCTTCTCTCTTCCAAGTTTGAATTTCTGGTTAGTGCTAAAAAATTTGACCTCTGGGCAAATTTTGAATCTGAATGTGTATCATACCCTGTCTGCCAGTGGACTGTAATTTCAGACTGGGATAAGAGAATTAGGGCAAATAAGAAGATAAAGGAAGTGGTTTTCGGAACCACTGAAGAAAGATGGACTGTATGCTCCTTGCATGTGCACAAAGCCCATTATTTCAGATGGGACCTGAACCTGGGGACCAGAGAAGCAGCCAGGTCTCAGAGCGTTTTCTGAAGGCATCCTGTGCACAGGCTGTGCATTCCTGAGTGACTTCGGCCCCACGGCATGTTAAAGCTCTGACAGCTCTAGGGAATGAGATCAGATACAATTTTGGGTGTGTCTTGCCCTGCTATTATTTTCTCGGGTTTTGTAAAAAAAAGTACTTGATGACTAATACTTTCCCCCAAACCATTTATTCAAGTTTTCCTTTTTTTTTCCTATTTTGGTGGCTCTTGCTTTAGATGAGATCGATCACCCAGGTTCTTCAAGTCATGACATAGCTGCCCCCACCGTGGCTTGTCTTTCCCCATCAGTCACCAGCAACCAGCACAAAGCACGGCACCTAAGCTTTCAGTCATTTGCTGAAATAATAAAATCTTCATCTGACAAATTTTATTCACTAGGTGATAAATCAGATTTGCATTTTTAATCTAGAAGGGAATGATCACCAGTTCCTTAAGACCCAACACAGTTCTTTTGATCTCTCTTTCTTTTAATTTTCCAGGAAATAGCTTTTAACAACCTATACCTTGTCTATTGAATTCTGTACCAGTTCCTGCCCTTATCGTCAGGGCGATAATACCACAGTACAGTCCCTCTTACTGGTGACTGTTGAAATGAGATGATAACTTCCCAGAAACTGCCTAGAAATAATCATCACTTTATTACCCTTTGAAAAGAAGATTGATAGAAAAGTCATTTGAAAGATGGTTAATTGCCATTCTCTCGTACAATTTCTTTACTCACATCTCTCCAAAGCATGAGAAGGGGCGGATTACTCTCTGAGGTCGGAATTTGAAGGCTGTGTGTTTGCCTCTTTGAAGTCTTCATATTTAATTTTCTGTAGTCATTTCTTGGGCAATTTTCTAAGAAACTAGTTGCAGCTAATTTATCATAAGTTAAAGTCAAATGACAGAAAAGATTTTTTTCCTTAACAGCATTTTATTCCATAGAGGCTAGCTTCTGAAGGAAAATAAGACTTAAATAGCATTTCAAATCTCCAGCCACACGGGTGGATACACAGAATAGAAGGGGTTCTGAAAACCACACTGGTTTGTTATTTAGCACAGTTATTAATTTTGACTTTTCTTTTTAGAACATGATATACAGATAAAATATATTTTTTGTGAAATTCCCTCCTAAAAATAATTAGTTAAGTTGCCTTGTTTTCAAAGAGAGATTCTTAGTTCTCAAGGGATAACAAATGTCATCTCTATTGTCAGCAGATGTTGGTATAATGTTATATAATTCATTTAACCTTTCTTTTAATCCCTAATTCTGAAATGGAGATGAGATACTTACCTTTTCAAATAAAGGTGAACAATAATAAGAGAGCATTTATAAACTCCTTTGAGAATCTCATGTAAGAGGCTTCTTGTGAGTATGGGATCCAGTTCAATAAATAATAAGGGTTTTCATTTTTGATACTATGTGATCTTTATTTAATGTTTACAGAGGATGCTCAGTGGACCTGTCTCAGTATAAACACAGAAGTAGTTTCTGCTATTTCTCCCTTTCCCAGGGGAATAAGCTCATATCTCCCTTTCTGTTTTGAAACTTAATTAAATAGTTCAAAATCAGGACATTCACCATTTCACGGTGTTTCCTATTTATTTTGTTTTTTGATGGACTTAGGTTTTCTCAGCTAATTTCTTTTGCCAATCTTCTGCCCAAAGAAAGTTTTCCACAAGCAGTAAAGCCCAAAGCCTGTGCCATCATTGGTGACACTTTGGGGTATGAAGAGAGAGCAGGTTTAGAGCCCTGATGCACGTAAAGCTTGATGTTTTACAACAATGATAATGGCGAGTTAAATTTTGTCAGTATATGGCTGACAAAATAATTAGTAATGAGAAAATTTTGGCTTATGGCTTGTCAGCATTTTTCAGCAACTAACTTCCTTTACTTATTTATTATTATTACTTTCATTAATCCTCACATGAGCATATGTTTACTAATTTTAGAGAGAGAGGAAGGAAGAGAGAGAGAGAGAGAGAGAAATATCAATGTGAGATGAACATCTATAGGTTGCTTCCCGTAGCCACCCTGATTGGGGACTGAACCTGCAACCAAGGTATGTGCTCTGACCAGTGATCAAACCTGCAAACTTCTGCTGTACCGAACAATGCTCTAACCAACTGAGCCACCTGGCCAAGTCAGCAACTAACTGCCTTTAGAATTATTTTTCCCTAGTGATTATTTTTTCACTGTGAACCTTTAGAAATTTTATTCCCTAAAATACTCATAAGGTCATTGTATTATGTATTATGGTAGACTAGTGACTGTCCAAATGTGGACCTAAGGATTTCCTCATTGAGGGGCTTGGGGAATCATCATGGCATCATGTGGTTACACTTTGGCTTCTAGTGAATCATTTTTTTCTGTATCCTGTTGTTCACCAAGTAAGAGGTCACAGAAACTAGGCATGGCTTAGTTACCAAAAGAAACTCTTAGTGTGTGTTATGGATTGAATTGTGTTTTCCTGTAATTAATGTGTTGAAATACGAACTCCCAGTACCTCAGAATATTGCCATATTTGAAGATCAGGTCTTTAAAGATGATTAAGGTTAAATGAGGTCAGTAAGGTGGGCCCTGATCAAGTAGGACCGATCTCCTTAAGAGAGGAGGTGAGTAGGACACACTCACATAGAGATAGAAAATGATGTGAAAGACATAGAAAGAAGGGGGCTGCAAGGCAAAGAAAGATGCCTCAGAAGAAACCAGACATGCCAACACCTTGATCTTGGACTCCCAGACTCCAGAACTGTGAGGAAATAAATCTGTCTTATTTAAGTTACCTAGTCTGTGCCACTTCATGAAGGCCCTAGAAAACTGTTGCAGTGTGTTGCCAGGTTTTAGAATTCCCTACTCACCCCTGAAATTTTGTAGGTGGGGAGTTGGGGAGCAGAGACGCCGGTAACAGCAGTGGAGAGGAGAAGGAGTAAGGTGCCATCACCTGCTGTGGGTGAGGACAGAGCATCACAGGTGGTGGCAGGAGTGGTGGATTATTTTCCCCAGGGAGTAGAGAGTGGTGTGTTCTGGAAGATCACATGATTGTTGCTGATAAAAACAAAC